GCCGACGTTTCAACCATTGTGTAATATTTCTCGTCGGTTGAGTTGTTCTCTGTTGTGATGAGGCTCAGGTTTGAGATGGGGGGCGAGCTTCGTCTACCTCGTCATTTTGGTTTTCAGATGGGGGTTTGATTTCGTTACTAGATTCTTCATTTACAGGCTCTCAAAAATATGAAGTGTCAAGAATATACACTTCATTTGGCGATAAACTGAACCTTAGTTGTAGTCTTGAGAACCTTGAAATTGGTTATAGGGTTTGTTGGGATTAGAATTGTTGGGGTTGACAGTGTTGTGATTGAAACTGATTTTCATAAATTGGCATTGGCCTTTGGGTATCGGTTCCGTGCCAACGATTCCTTCTTTGAAACTTGAAAGTATAAAATTGAACTGAAAGATATTAGAAATGAAAGAAGAAAGGTGGTGTGAATTTTTTAGTTGTGACAGTTTGTTTAATTGTTTATATAGGTGTAAAAATTATTATTATTATTATTATTATTATTATTATTATTATTATTATTATTATTGAAATCTAGTTGTTACCCCCAACGACTTCAACAACTTGGTGAACCTGCCCAAGCCACTGCTGTCGAACCACTGGAACAAGGAACAACGGTATCATTGGGCCCGTCAGTGCCAAAATCCGGCCAAAACGCAACAAATTAGTGTACCCTTATAGGATAGAGAGATGAGCTACTGAAGTAGTAAACAACTAAGCATTATTAAATCAGAGATCAGATTTATATCCTTATAAAACCTAAAAACTCACATATATACCCAAAATTTTAATTTAATCATATTTAATATATTAAAAAATAAAAAAAACTATTTTTAAATTGATTTTTTATTATTAAAAAAATATTTTACTTGTAACATTACAATATTACTCTTCTCCTACATTGCTATTCTTGACCTATTTACATTATGAGTCCTTACAAAATAACCCACATTGAAATTAGTTTTTTCTATGATTTTACATGTACCTGAAGAATCAGAGGAAGAACAAAATTGTTTAGAAGAGAATAATCGCAGCTCTCTTAAATTGATAGTAGAAAATGAAATATTTATCAATCCATTATGAATATGCAATCACATTGTTTTGAACAAATCAAATGTTTTTTTTTGTTTTGTTTCGAACAAATCAAATGTTTTCTTCATATCCTAATGTTGAAAACCATTGAACACTATAAATAACAAAAAAAACATGAAGATTTTGAGTCAAAAATTAAAGTCGGTTCAAATAGAAACAAAAAAATTGAGTCTCAATAGAATATAACTTTATTATAGATTATATGACTTCTATGATTGAAAACATTTTTAATCCAGAAAACATGAAAGTTGAAATTAGATTCCAAAAACAATTGTCACGTGTGACGGTTTTTTCGAAAAAAAAAAACTAAAGGTTTCCTAAAAAAACTTATATATACATGTTAAAACTGTTAAATCGAATTAAAATTCAAGATCATTTTAAAAAATAAATAACTTAATCCAAAAAATTATATATATATATATATATATATATATATATATATATATATATATATATATATATATATATAGGGGATTTTCCCTTGATTAATAAAAATTAGAGATTGTGAGATTAATATCAGCCAATGGAACTTAACGTCAACTAACGTCAACTTTTAAATGATTAAGGGGTATATAACAGTAAACTTCAAATTAATGTTCAGAACGGACACCTTCCTTCTCTAAAAATCATCATATCGCTAAATTCATCGATTTTCAGTATCAGTCACGTAATCATTCATCCAATCTTCAACAATTATTCAATATAATAAAAAAGATCCTATATTTACTGAATCTGTTATCAAATTAATCGCAATCTTCAAATCGAAAAAACGATCGAAACAGAGCATCAGTTCATATCCTCATAAATACGAGATACATCCTCAAATCGAAGAACAAGCAAGCACTCGCAATCATAAACAAAGCATTTGAAAATTGAATCAAAATCAATTTTCATAAATGATGTCGAATCCAAAGAATTGACAAGTCGATCGCACTGATACTATTATAGCTGAAATCAATTCATCTCGTAACGCGAACAAATCGATTCAATTTCTTTCCTTCTGAAGAACTTCAAAATACGATTTGTATTGAAGGTACAACTAATTCGTTTTAATCTACATATTACATTACAATTTCTACACTTCATTCTGATTCTTTTTATTATACAATATAAATTATGAAAAATCATATATGATTATACAATACAATATGTGATTTAATTATATAAGGATGAATATCATATATGACTGTTCATATCTATGATTAATCATATGTATTTATAGTTTGTAATTATGATTTATCATATAGGTTTTCAATTGAATCTATATATATTATATTTGGATGAATAATCATATATGATTATACATCATAATATGATTATCATATATTACAAACTACAAATACATATGATTAATCATACATGATTAAACAATATCAAGTATGATTATTTATAAATTAATACGTATAATCATTTGGATTACACACTATATTATATGATCAATCATATAATACAATGTACAAATACATATGATTTAACATCTAATAATATATTAATATCTAAAATCATATATGATTTTTATACTAAAATATAAATACATATCGTTAATCACATATGATTATTACAACATAAAATTATATATAACATATTTGTCATTCCCTCTTTTATCAGGTGAAAGTTCCAATTCAACAAATGAATCATATTGCAGTAACATAATTGAGAATCTGAATATAAACCAGATGTCCCTACAGAATTTGTACTAGTTGTAAACAGTGTTTTCAAATCACTAAATTTGGCAGTAAAATTGTATACGGATTATGTAGAAATGGCAGGTTTCATACAAGACTGAGTAGCCAATCAAAATACAATAGCCAATAATAAAAGAAAATATGTTATATGCAATAGGGGTGACAAGGATAAACCAAAACCTTGTGATACGTTGGCTACAAGTTCTATCAAGAGGAAACCAAATTCAAAGAAGATAATTATTGGGTTTACAGCAAATATTATATTTGAAAATGTTTATGAACAACAGATTACAAGTTAAGAATTCTTTTGAAATGCACAACCACCCACTGGAAAGTATTGAGGAAAGACCTTATACGAAAAAGAAAGAAATATGTCATATTCTGAAAAGAGTTTGTAGTACGTGCATCAAAAGCTAAATTGGTCCCCACATGGCTCACAAAATACGAGCAGTTTTGAAAGGAGGATATGAATATGTAGGGGCGCAGGTAACAAACTACAAAAACTTGAGGAGATGAGTAAATAGAATCTTATGTTACAAGGATGCTCAAATAATGATAAACAAAATGAATGATCGTAGAGATCATTACCCAAATTATTCATTTGAGTTCCTACGTGATGGAGATCTGTTGGCTGCTATGTTTTGGGCAGATGAAAGAGAAAAGGCTTTGTATGCAGAGTTTGGAGAAGTTATATCTTTTGATGCAACTTTTAGAACAAACAAGTAAGTTAATGTATATAAATTCAAACATACTATTAATCAAATATGATTGTACTAAACACATTTTCTTTATATAGGTATAAAATGGTATTTGTTCCATTCACAGCAGTTGACCACCACAAGAAATCAGTTACTGTTGGTGCTGGGTTGCTGAGTAGAGAGACAATTGAGTCGTATATGGCTACTACTTAAAGCTTTTCTTAGAGCTCATGAAGGGAAAGCACCAAAAATTGTTATAACTGATCAAGATGCAACAATAAAACAAGCAGTGGAATCTGTATTACCAAATTCAAGACACAGACTATGCATGTGGCACATAATGAAAAAACTACAAGCAAAGGTATAATAAAAATACATTATATATCATATATGATTATAGATTAGTATTAAGATGATTCATATATGACTTATTAGATATCATACTATATGACCATATATGATAATCATATGATTAACTATTCTAATAATACGAATTATCAGATACCATACTTACTGTATAAACATATATGATTACATAGTATGTAATATGATAATACAGTATATAATCATATATGATTGATATAATGATATATAATTAAATATTTTAATAATATGATTATATAATCATATATGATTATATATGATTAATCATATATGATTATAATAATATAAGTTATCATATATCATACTATGATTATGATGATACAATATATAATCATATATAATCATTTATGATTATATAATATGATTATATAATCATATATGATTAATCATATATGATCCATCCTTCATTACAGTACATATATGATATATGATTAATCATATATGATTAATCATACATATATGATATATGATTAATCATATATGATTACAGTACATATATGATTACAATACATATATGATATATGATTAATCATATATGATTAATCCTACATGATATATCGTACATTACAGTAATCATATATGATTAATCATATATGATTACTCATATATCATATATGATTAATCATATATGATTACAGTACATATATGATATATGATTACTCATCATCATCACCTTTACCTTCAACATGATTTTTACCAATATTGCCCTCATGTGGATCACTTTCATCCCCCTGACCACCAGAACATTTCCCTTGATCATAATCTTCAACATTTTCATTATCATTAAGAAATCATTCCCAATAATTTCATCATTAACTTGAACAAACCAGGTGTTATATCGGTTCTTTATATTTTTGTGAAACCATAATTGAAATCAAAACTTTATGTGCTTAATCTTCAACAGGAAATAATAATTCCAAATTTTCAAATTTTGACTTTGAGGAAACTTCAACACTCCCTCATCTATCTTTACAACAAGATCCTTTTTCAAATCCTCCATCTTCTGATACATACATGAAATTTTACTTTCATACACCTACATAAGAAAAAAGATACTTACAACTAAAATACTTAAACATAAAAAGTCATAAATGAATAAACTAATTAAATCATAAATGAATAAAACCAGAATTACCTCCACATCACTAACTACTTATTAACATCAAAATCTTCTTCATCCTCATCACATAAATCCTCTTCACCATCAGATTCAACCTCATCACCACCAGATTCATCCTCATTATACTCAGATTCTTGAAATTCTTCTTCAACATATGCTTCATTAACATGTCCACATCCAAATCCTCCACTCTCTTGTAAAATATTCTCAAGAAACCTTATATTCTCTAATGTCCAATAAAAAATAGTTGGACGTTTACGTGTGACTTGCAAATGATCAAACTTGAAAGTATCCACATATAACAATACAAAAAAAAAACAATATAACATCATATATGATTTGATGTGTAATTATAATTAAACAAAAATTATACTACATAATCAATTGATTATATGTAATAAATCATATATGATTTATTATAAAAACCAACATATTTTTACAACTAAAAAGAATATAAATATAAAAAATAACTCACGTACCATAAGGTGTTGCTGGTCCATAAAAGAAAGAAGATTCTTTCTCTGGATTGTAAACCTTCTTCGTCCTTACTAACAATCCACAATGTAATCGCACAGTCAATGCTACTTAAATCAGTATCTCTTCTGATTAAATACAATGGATTCAGATTACATTTACCCATGCTTGTAGACTCACAGAAAGTATTAATAAAAAGAACCAAAAATTGATTTTGAAGTTGTCATCATCCGCGCACTAGTTTGAACAAGTTCATTCTTTAGCTGTTTCAATCTCAATTTATCAATATTTTCATACTATTTCTTCCACTCAAACATACAATTCTCTTCATTATTCTCCGAAATGTAATCCATGTTTGAAAGTAATGAGCCACCAGATGGTAATCCTAATATCTCTTGAACAGACTTACTATCAACTACTTCACATTATCAACTCCACCTTCAAAGATTCAAAATAAAATGATCAAGAACATAATAAACAATCTTCAACGGTACGTCAATAATCTTCATCCCTAACAAACTCCCAAATCCCATAGCCCTAACACAATCCTTCTATTCTCTACTTAAACCTTGAATAACACCCAACAATATCTTTCTTCAAAACTTTAGTTTCTCTCTTTGGTTTCTTTGAAGATCCAGGACGACTCTGAAAATCTGAATCATCTTCATCAGATAGTTCACGTTTTTTACTTACAGTTTTGACCTTAACCCTCAGCTTCACTTTTGGTTGTTCAATAACTGTTTTTTTTGGATGTCTTTGAACGTGTTTGCGACAACCTCATTCGCCTTTCTTTTGGAAGATGACCGTGTCTTCCTTGAGCTATCTACATTCCATTTTTTAACTACAATTTTCATTACAAACATAGTGTTAGTAAAAAATAAACATACATTATCATTACTATTCACTAATGATTATAAACAGACGTATAAATCATTATGATTAGAACAATAAATAAAAATACAACTACATGTTATATACAACCACTTAAAAGAATCACAAAATCAGTTATGATTACAAAAATAACTTTATATTCATGTTTGATACATAAAATAATTACATTACTATTACCAATGATTAAACAAACGTATAAAATCATCTATGATTAGAAGTGGAAAAAACATATAACTAAATGTTATGTTCAATACACTGGAAAAAATCAAAATCAGTTATGATTACAACAAATAACTTCAAACATTAAGTTATATGTTTATTTCTACTTCTAATCATAGATGATTTTTTTGAACTGTACTTCGGAATAACAACACTTCTACCGCATTCGATATTTTTTGATTTTTGAATTTTTTTTCGAACATAGTTTCTTTTGAAATTTCTATCTGTGAAAATATAAACAAAAACTTACATCAAAAACCACCACAAACAAACATAATAAAAACATATAACTCTAAACGAGACAATCATCAAAATCAAGTTAAAATGACGAAAACCTACTGAATCAAAACAAAAAAACACATTATCAACATAAAACGACAGTTAACTAATAATAAAAAAAACATACATTATCAATAAAATGAAAAATAACTCGCATTCTAACCTTTCATTTCGATTAACGAAGATGTGACTTCGTTTATATTTTCTCCTGAAGACATTTACTGATTTCTCAATAACAGGTAAGAAACGAAAACTAGGGCAAAATACGATAAAGAAAGAAAAAGAGGGTTTCCTGAGAGTTCGAAGTGAGACTTTGATCGAGAAAGAAAAGAACAATAGGCGGTTACAGTATCGTAGCCTGCAAAATTCATATCAATCTTTGTAAATTACAACAATAGAGCCCCACAATCGTAAATTAACGGCGTTAGTTTAATAAGTTACCAATATAATTACAATATGTCACCGCTAGTTTCAGAAACAAATAAGCACATCAACGGGTATACACATATCTCACAATCTCTAATTTTTTTTATCTCAAGGGAACCAAAGCTATTATATATATTATATATATATATATATAATATATATATATATATATAATATATTATATATATATATATAATGATTTTAACCCTCAATGTATATAAATCCAAACCACTATTCAAACATACACATTTAAATAAATCTAAATCCAAATTCATATAAATCATAATCTTTCTAACACATTCAAACACCCATAGAAAAAATCGAAACAATCCCCTTAGCTTCTTTGGACATATAATAAAATATTACTTACAATATTTTGATTCGTTACCATCCATTTTGTTCACCTTTACAAGATTTTTATTATTTGAGAAAATTCTACTCATTAATTATCTTAGTTAACACTTAACACTTCCTAATAAAAAGATACATTTGCACAATTTTGTGATCATTACCTTTTGACAAAACTGCAAAACTGGTCCTGTGGTGTATTTTTTCTTGGTTATGGTCTAAATCGTGATTTTTTTTTGGCTTCGTGGTCATTTTGAGCTAGTTTCGTTACGGATATGGTCTCTCGGTAAACTGAAATGACTTTAGTACCCATGGATATTTGTTTTCTATTTTCTTTCATTTTTTAAAAACTAATACTTATTTATTTATTTAACTAATTAAAAAATAAAAGTCTCTCTCTTATCGAGATCTTTTTGCTTTTTCTGGGTTTGTTCTTGTTCACCTTCCCTATTTTCTTGTTTTGTTTTTGTGTGTTCATACTAATCTTTTGAATGTCAAACCCTCCATGAGAGCTCCACTCAACTGATTCCTCCTTCACCGCCCTCATCTTCGACGGTTAATCCCAACCAAAAAAAACCCCTGAAGCCTATCAAGATCTAAAGCCTCTCAAGAGCTCAAGCACACACACACACTCGTATTCTGTTCGTCACTGTTTGTAACTCGATTTTTCGACGATGACGAAGCCGCCAATGTCGTCGTTTCTCTTTCTTCGCCAGAAAAATGAAGATATTGGGGTTACCTCCGACTGTGAAAGTGAAATCGCATTTTGGACAACCACCATTTGCAGATCCGGCTCGCCGCCTGCCATGAAGGTTATCTCCAGAGAAGACGAATCCAAATCTGAAGAGCTAGGGTTTGCAGCGCCGTCACCCACTACGTTGAGCTATAAGCCTACCTCCGACGATATAGATCTGAGAGAGAGAGAGAAAGAGAAAGAAAGAGAAAGAGAGAGAGTCGTTTGAAACACTTGCCCATCTCTGACGAACAAATCACGTTTTGTCTGAATACGTCTAAAACACTCTCCCCTCTCCTGATGAAGAGACCCACCTGTTGAGGATCATTTGTTTCTAATGTCAGCAAACCCTCTAATTCCATCTTCTTCGTCTGATTTCGTTTAAAAAATAACCCCCAACAGATTCACCATCTTCGTCCTCTGTTCTTGTTTGTTTGTGACCCCATCTATAGATTTGAGTTATGAGGAGGAGTAAGGCATGTCGGATATGCTTCAGAAGAAGAGAATAACTGTAATTAGGGTTTCTCAGTGGAATTCCTAATTACATTCGTTTGTTTTTTTTTATTGTACTCCCTTCAAGATAGATAGATAGATAGAGAGTGTGTGACATCCCAAAATTCATGGTCATTTAAAAAAATTATTTATGTTTATTTTAAAATCAGATCATCGTCAATACAGAAACATAAGCATAAACAGAACTTACATTCATTTACACTAATGAGTTACATCTCATTTAATATCTCAGTGTAATGTATTTTCGCATCGATACTTGTGATACAAATGAACTGAGTGGGTCAGGTTGGGAAACCTGGTGAGTACATAGGGATTTCAATCCCATATATATATATATATATATATATATATATATTATATATATATATATATATATATATATATAGATCGAGAGGAGAGAGAGAGAGAGAGAACCTGGTGAGTACATAGGGATTTCAATCCCACAAGTTATATCATATATATATATATATATATATATATATATATATATATTATATATATATATATATATATATTAGAACTCGACCTCATATAAACAATTTTACCCCACCTCGTCGATCCTTACAACAACACGATCCATATACTCGGATCTAAAATTAACAGCTACCTAATCCATACTCCCGGATCAGGTATGTCTAATCCATGCTTTCGGATCAATGAAAAATGACTATGTCCAATCCATACTCTCAGACTAGGGACGAATGACCATGTCTAATCCATTGTAACATCCCAAAAATTCGATCCAATTTAAAACTTTTTGATTCGTTTGAAACCATTCAATTATTACAATTGTTTTCAAAATTGTATACATCAGAGTTCCCAGAAATCATAATCGTAAATCGAGGAAGTGTACGGTCACGTCTTTGCCTACCCGCGGCCCTCCATAACCTGAAACATAAACTGAAACTGTAAGCCCGAAAGCTTAGTGAGTTACCCCCAAAATACCAACCTCCTATAACCATAATCATATCATATCAACAAATACAGAACAACCATGCATCTCGAGTATACAGTGTGACTGGTCCGCCCGCACCGGGCCTTCAGTCCACCCGGTCCACTCTTTGAGTCTACAGTATGACTGGACCGCCCGCACTGGGCCTACAGTCTATCTGGATCTATCCCGAGCCTTCGATATGACTGGACCGCCATACGGGCCTACAGTCTATCCGGACCGCTCGTAGGGTATGTTGGCCTTCAGCACGAAGCAGGACCACCTCAACCCAAAGATCAAGCAAATAACCATGTGCACATATAACAGGTAATCACATAACAGTCCATAGACGGACAAACCGATCTAGCAGATCATATAGTATAGCAACATCCCTAACCAGGACCAACCTAACCGGTCACTAACATAGCATCATCCTATATACCAGGATACCGACCCTAAACAGGTCACTAAACATAATACCGTCCTAATTACCAGGACGCCGATCTAACATCAATAAACATATCAACAATCCTATAACCAGGATATCGACCTAACCGGTCACTAACATAGCATATCACCATCCTAACTACCAGGATGTAAATCAATAAGCATGTCATGCAATAATCCAAATACAAACCATAAAGGGTCGGCATTGGTGCCTTAGACCCTGTTGATATAGTGAGGATAATGTTGGATTAATGTCTAAGTCCATAACTATATTTGGTATGTACTTGACCCGACCCGGCATGGTCCATTTGGGTTGCACTTCACCGACACAAGATATGGATAGTCTTTTGAGAATATATTTATGATTTATATTATATATTATAAGTTCTAATATTTAATATGGAATCATATTATTTAATTAATATTGGTCAAGAATTAATTTAGAATTAATTAAGTGATCAAAAAGAACTAATTAAATGGACTCTTATATATATGGAATGGGCCAAGTTCATTTAGGTGGGCTAAGCTTTCATGGATGGTCCATGGAGCTTTTAACCCATGGATCC